TGTAACAGCAGTGAATCCCAAGAGTGGTGTGGGATACCCAGAAAAGAATTACACAACTCAGAGTAAGGGCAAAGCAAAGCTAAGAACAAGATGAGGTACCCAACCTGGCTGCTCAGCAGTTGGTACCTTCAGCCTCAGAACTAGTGTTCTGCCTTTTGGCTGCCAGTTGTATCAATGGCTGTTCTCAAGGCACGTGGATGATTCCTGGTGACTTTTCAAAGACTTTGGATGTTTTTATGGGGGCAGGGGAGAGGGGAAAATGTCTTCATAGTTGAAGCATTACAGAGCTCTTGCTGTGTTCCTGGACAGCAGTCCACGTTGATATTTTCTTTCAGTGTCAAAGCTGGAAGAGCAGAAAAGCCTCAGTGTGCAACTCAAGCAGAGCTTCTGCACCTCCTCCAGACTTGCAGTGCTGCAGTGGGTTTAAAGCTGTTTCAAATGCCACTTTTCATTCCTTGAATGAAAAGCCAAGGCCCTTCCTTTCATGAGGTGTGGTACAGCTCTTCTGCCCAGACCACAGCCTCAGTTACACTCAGCACCAGCAGACTCTGCCTTGTGGCCACAGTCTTTTGGCAAGACATGTGCAGTGAGTCTGGCTGGCACAATGTCACCCACCAGAGCCACCTCACAAGGTGCTGCCAGGATGGGGATGAGCAGGGACAGGCACATGGAGCACAGCCATGTGTCCACAGGGCAGGGCTGGGTGCTGCTGTCCTCAGGGAAGTGGTGGGCATCACAGAACTGCTGCTGTGACCTGGGGGTCTTCTCAGAGTGCAAGTCTGCTGTGTCGCCCTAGATGCCCAGAGGACTCCCCTGTCCCTGATCTCTGTCATCCTGATCACCTTGGCTTGCAGTGCTGTGGTTTTCCTTGTCATCTTCCTTATCGTCTGCATTAGAAAGCCCAAGGATGGTGAGTGAAACATTCTGGAAAATTTGAATGTGCTGTTTTACCTTGGAGGGGTTTGGTGCTGGGGCTGTTCTCTGGCACCTGCATCGTGCAGGAGCCCATCGAGAAGTGTGTGGCCCAAAACGGGTGGTGGAAGATCTATAGAGGCCTTCATTAATTCTCCTTATGGAATAAGGATTAATTTCCTTTCTAGTCTCCAGCTGCAGGATATATTTACTGAAGGCTTCTGCCTTTGCAGTAAGAATAGCAAACTCCTGACCAAGGCTTCTAGAAAAGCCACTGGGCAGCATATGGAGAACACACCAGGGCTTGGTTTGGGGTCTTGGCCATAATTTTCTCTTTGTCCCTTTGTTCCTTTAATTAGCTTTCTAGAGCTCCATGCTACCAAATAAGAGTCATTATTAAATGCTCCTTTTGCCTTTTTTTTTTTTTTTTTTTTTTTTTTTCTATAAATCCAGAATAACCACTTTCTAAATTGTTCTTTATTGAACATCTAATGAGTAGGAAAATTGTGGGAACTGGGAACTTCTGGTTTCTAAATTCAACTTGGCCATTGACCTTGAGCCAGTTATTTTGACCCAGTTGTGCTACATCTGGGTTGTTTTCATTTCATCCAACATGATCTCTAAGGTTCCTATTTTTATTCTGTCTTATATCAAAAGGAGACAGAGTAGACATTATTTTTTGAGAATATAAATGCCAATTATTGATGCATTTCTGATTATTCTTTTCCAGCTCAAACCTATGAAGTAAAATTGTGAGTATAACCCTTCATTTTAAAGCTATTAGATGTTATGACCCAGGTGGTGGACGTGGGTTGCACTCTGCTCACTATTTACCATTCCTCCACCACTTTTTAATATATAATACATATTTATCTTGCAAAGATCCGTTGTCTGGTTATGCCATTCCAAGAAATAGGGGCAATCCTTGTGTTGCTTACATACCTTCTGCTACCTCTGAAACTGTTCTAGGCTGGAGGCCATGCTTGCTGTAATGTCCCAGGTTCTCTTGCCACTTGGAAGCAAAGGACAAGAACACTGTCATAATCCAATGCCCCAGGTTTACATGGGTTTGAATCAGACCACAATCTTGTTCAAAATCTTGATGGTTGACAGTTGCTTTTCCTACTCTGGTTCCAACTCTTCTTCCATATTGTGTTTTGTTTTCAGCCATAATTTGAGAGGAGCAGCTTCTTCAAGGTGTGAAAGCACAGGTCATTATGAGGAGCCCATCCCCTGCACTGACAGCAACTATGTGGTGGAGCCCTTGAAAAACAAAGGAGCTGAAGAAATAAATACGCAAAAGAATGAATATGAATGTGTTGAAAACACCCAAGAATCTGCATATGAAGTAGGGGACACTGCATGAGAACCAAATGTGCTCCACAGGTTGCAGTCTGAAGAGGGTCTTCATGCAGGCAAAATTTATCTTTCTATTCACCTTTGCTTCTGAAAAATGGGTTCAACAAGCAGTTTTTGCTCCTCTATTATTTGTGAGCCTTAACAACCTCTGCAGTGAAAATGCAAACCTCTCTGGGAACTTCAGTTGCAGACTGCTGTCTAGATCTTCTGGTTTTGCTTTCCTCAGCTCCCTGCCACCACCTCTGTAGAAGAAAGCCCTCTGAAAGCCAGTGTATGCAGACCCCAGGCCAGGAGGGCTGTCCTGAGGTGACTGCTTTACGTGACTAGAGGATCTGCCAGCACAGCCTCGGATGTGGTAGCAGCACCAGCACCAAGGGCTGCTCAGCATCCCCAGCACCTTTCAGTGCTGGTCTGCAAATCACTGTTTCCCATCCCTCCCCTTCACCTGAAGTGCTGCACAGCGTGTCCCAGATGTGAGAAAACCCTTAAAGAAACACTGAAAGCCAGATTAAAACCAGGATACAACCAAGAACCTTACCTAGGGCAGCAGTATAAGAAGAAGAAATGTCCCCTGCAGCCCTGGTGCTGTGGAGAGTGGTCAAGGTCTCAGAAACCTTTGTTTCAAAATGAAAAGGAAAAAACATCAGCTTGTGCTGGTGGTGGTGATGTTATCTTGAAAAAAAAAATGTCAACATGTACATGCAGCTTATTACAAATGTCAAGGAAAAAATGAAAATAATTAAACTTGAAGACTGTAAACTGAATAGATGTTTTTATAGTTCCCTCTATTTTACCTGTGAAGGTGACTGTGCATGAATATTGGGGTGTGCCCAGGAATTCTGCTCCTTCATGAAAGCAGAGGAATTATTGTGGATCTGCTGGAGTTTGGGGTATGCTTTGGATGTGGGGTTGCAGGATGTGTGTAGGCTGTAGCGGCCACAGTTCAGGGAACGCAAGATGTAGGAGTTGCTGCTGGTCCAGTGCGAGGTTCAGAGCTAATGAAATGAGATCGTTAGGGAGTGAAAGAAAATTAGTTGTATTATGAAGAGTTTAAAAAGTCAGTGAAGGCTGACAGTCCTTCCTGAGCAGGAAGGAGAGAAGGGGAGGAAAACTCTTCCAATAGCATTGCAAGGCACACAATTATCACCAAAAGAGTTTTCCAGAAAACAACAGAAAAATCATGGCTGAACAGTGTGTTAATGTGATGACAAAGCAACAGTGTTGACATTTTCTGGGAAACTATTGTGGTTTCTTCATCTTTCAAGTCTAGATGATGCTTCATTTTTTGGAGCTCTGTAGTGATGTTCTCATTCTTTAAAAAAGGTGGTGTTTGTTTTTGGTTTTTGTTTTTTTTTTTTAAAAGGTGTTTGTGCATGTGTTGGTCGGGAGGGGGGTGGGAAAGGAGTGTTACAGTACTGGGAAGCAACCCCACCCCCCTGACCTCCATCCAAGAAACCAACTTAGTGCAATGGGAATATGGGGCTTTCATGCTGGTGACTTGGAGGGGTGAGACTTGTAGAAATGATGCTTGGGAATGTGTCATGTCCAGTGTGTGGAAGGAAGGTGAGTATCCTGCAGGGACAGGCTGCAAGATTCCTTACCAACCTTACCCTCTGGTAAAAAAGAAATGGGCTGGCCTTGTGACCTGGGGAGGAGAAAACTAGCAGCTACATCTCTGCCTCAAGGAGAGAATGATGTCATGTCCATCACTGTTGAGAAACTACAGTTGTTGGCATTTGTTTTGGCTAAATAGTTTTTTGTTGTTTTTTGTTTTGTTTTTTTTTAATTCTGTATAATTGCTGTTTCAGGAAGTCCTACATAGCTGCTTCAGAAAGTAGTCACATCAGCAGTTTCAGCTTGGGATTTCAGCTTGTTCCAGGGCATGTTCCCCAAAATCCAGCTTCTTTTAAAGTCTTTTGCATAAGAAATATTTTGCTGGGACAAACTTCTATTGCTGGCCATGGACCAGGTGTGCAAAAGGCTGGTTTTAAATCCTCTGTCTGAAAATGGACTCACATCCACTCCTTCAGTGACATTGCTTGAATTTTAGCAAGTCTTTGCCTGCTTGCTTTTAGGCAGGACTCAAACAGAGCTGATGGCTTCTTGGTGTCAGAGTGGGCAATAGGGCATAGGCAGTATGACCTGGTACCACGCTAGTAGCTTCAGTGAAAACGTCAAGAAGAAAAGGCAGCAAAAATCAAATTTCCAGCACAGCAGCAAGGATTAGCTCAGCCAGAATGGGTGGTGCTGCTGCCTTTGAAGTCTTCCCCAGCAGGATGTCACCTAGTGGTATCTTGTAGCTTGGAACCTCGTAGGCAGGTGTTGCACCAAGTGTCCCACACCACATTTTTGCTCCAGGCTGCCGTGCTTGCCACAGACAAGTTTTCCTGCAGCAACAGGCAGAGCTTAGCAGATGGTACAAATGGTGTAACAAAGTGTGGGTGACTGTGGCTTGGTAACCTCTCATTTCTCCATGCACCTTCTCTGTGGCCCTGGTGGGTGTAACTGCACTGCCATGGGGCACAAATTCTGGGCAGCTGGTAGGAAAAGTGAGCTTTTGCAGGGAAATTTCTATTGCAGAAGGGAGCAGGATGTTGTTTTCTTATTGCCTTCTCTGCACATTTTCTGTTAAAACAGAAAAACAAGAAAAAGGGCGTAAAAGTGGCATCCTGAGTTTTCTGATCTCATAGGCTCAGACTGTTTGGCAAAGAAACTAGGGCTAGTTGTTTTCCTCACTTGGGTCCCAGACTGACCTGCTGAGAAGGTGAATGGGCTCATCCTTGGAGAGTCTTTTTCTGCATGTGGTGTGAGAGCTGAATGTTCAGCAGGAGACACTGCAGAAGAAGAACAGAGCATCAACCAGGTGGTCTCTGCCTTGTGCTCCTGGGTGGTGTGAGGTTAGTCGATGCACTCAGACTCCTGCTTTTCCATGTCTGGATGCCAGGTTTGAGCTCTTGTGGTACAATGGAGAGAGATGCTGGGCACTCTGCTGAGCAGTATCATCACCCACAAACCAGAGGGAATCCAGCTCATGCTTCACAAGCATCCTCAGGTTCCATTTCACTTGCTGCTGAGTGCTTGACTGTGTAGGCACTGTGAAGTGAATGCAACTGTGGAAGAAAAGAGAAGGAAGGAAGGAAGGAAGGAAGGAAGGAAGGAAGGAAGGAAGGAAGGAAGGAAGGAAGGAAGGAAGGAAGGAAGGAAGGAAGGAAGGAAGGAAGGAAGGAAGGAAGGAAGGAAGGAAGGACATTTATGAAGAGCAATAAAAAGCATCTCTAGTCAGAAAAATCAAGAGAACAGTAAGAGAAGTGGGTGGGGACAGAATATTAAATAGAACTGCAGATATCCTTATGTCTTTGTCCATCCTTTACCCTTCACCTAACTTGGCAATGAAGTGGACTCGTGATGTTTCAGAAAGAGGATCTTAGATGACAAAGGACAGAAGAAAGGGAAGTGTCCTTCACTTGTCTTCTGGTCCCAGGAGTGTGGGGGTCTCTCACCAAGTGCAGGGAAAGGAGGATGGAGCTGCAGCTCTGGGCAGTGGGAGGACGACCATGGATGGTGGTGTTTGGGATGGCTTTCGTCAGCTGCAACGGTGAGTAAATGCTTCAGTGTGTGAGACTTAAAATCAGAGTATCAGGAGGGTAGGGAAAATCTTTTTAGCTACATTGTGTTAATTTTTTAAAATTGCTGCTCTGGCATGTTAACTTACAAAACAGGCTTTGTGGAGCTGGAACATCAATTCTTCTAGAATTGAATAATGTGTCAGGGTTGCTCTGCTAGCACGGTCCTGGGAAGAAGAGCTGTGAGACCAAATGTCAGCACACACATGGTTTCCCTTGGTCCCTCCTGAGCTGCTGCCTCTCTAGGTGCATTAGGAGAGGTGACACTGGAATCTTTGTTTCCATTCATATGCACATGTGCCACTCCCAGGGTACAGATGACACTGACACCAGCACAGGAAGGTTTTGGGAAACAGGAGAAAGGTGCTTCAACAAGTTGTATAAGGAAGCACAGAATTGCTCCTGGGATGTGGGAAAAGGGGTCAAAGTATGTTCCCCATTTCATAATTAAAAAAAAAAATAAACAGCTTTGCAGATTTCTGGATCTGCCTCTTGAGCCACTTCGTGTGAGTGAAGGCAGCAGAACACAATCTGTGCCTGGGGAGGAGGGGAGAGGGGGAGCAGGATAAAGGGGTGTAGGTAGACCTGAGCCCAGTCCAGCTAAATTCAGGTGATTTGGTGCATACAAGACGCACTTCCCAGAGGAGCTGTGGGCAGACAGCTGGAGCGGCTGGGAGAATGTGCTGGTTACCACAAAATCTGCCTCCTCTTCTCCTGTGTCCATTGGAGTGCTCATCAGGGTGTTTCTCTGGGTGAAGCGGGTGGGGTCCAAGAGATAGAGGTCAGATCTGGGGTTCTCTAAGTCTAAAGCACAAAGCTTGGGTTTGGTCCACCACTCCTGGTCCAGGTCCAGTGTTCAGAGCAGAGCCCTAAAGGCTCCTGCCTGCATGGCCCTCCAGTGCCACCAGAGCAGCTGGTGCTGGCAGCCTGGGAAGGAAGATGCTCAACTGTTTCAGAAAATGGGCCATAATAGGAGAGTTCAACATTTTGTCTGTTATCACACCTTACAGATAACACAAATCCCTCTGATCATCTTCTAATCTCTAACATGACCCTTAAGGTTTTTACCTGGTTCAGCTCTATTTCCCTTTGGTGGGAGAATTCACGTTGTTTGTCTGGAAGACAATAGCCCAGTTTAGGAAGTGTCACTGGGAGTAAATACATCTTTTAAAAACATTCTCTTGGGGATTTTTATTCTTCTGAGTTTCCCCCATTCCTTCCAATCATCTCTTCTTTGGAGCCACCCCAGCTCTTTTTGAAACTTGTCATATACAGAGTGCAGCTGCTCCACAGGGAACCAGTGGATGCCAGCAGCTGTTCCATGGCACACAGCAATGCAAGACAACATGGGGGAGATGTTTAAACAAAATTTTGTCCAGATGAATACCCTGGATAGCAAACATACTTGAACTTGAGTGCACCAAAACCATTGAGGGTACTTCTGACCACTTTTCTAAATAGCTCCCACCCTTCTGAAGTTTTTATCAGTGGGAACCTGTGAAAAGAGGAAGAAGAGAGATGGAAAAGCTTTAAAAATTCTCAAGGAGTTGTGTTTGCCTGGGATGTGAGATGTGAAGAAGAGAGCTGTGCCTGCCTTCTCAGCTGGCAAAGGAAAACCAAAGCTCCCTGTCAGAAACAATCTTCCAGGAAGCTCACCTCAGCAGTGGTCTTAGCTGCCCCATGGACCCAGCTCCTCCTCCCACCCTTCCTCCCTTATAGAAGGTAGAAGTCAACACTGCCAGTGGGGTTGTCAGAGCATCCTGTGTCACTGGTGCCCCTGCTCTTTGACTCATCATGTGCAAGTGTGAGCAGAAAGCCAAGCTGCAGGATCAGGCTGTGAGGGCTGAGGTGAGAGAGAAGGAACAAGAGGTGCTCCTAAAGTCCTTGCAAGGACTGTAGCTGTGATGCTGCCACCAGGAGCATGATTTGTGCCTCTCCATAACAAGAAGGAATTGAGAACTGGCAAGTGTCCAGAGAGAAACAATAAAAATAGCTATGAGGTGAAAGCAACTGTTGACTTCCGTACAGTCAGTGAGATGGGGACAGGCCCTGGTCTGGCTGGCTGTGGTCCACAGCACATCTTAGAGGTGCCCACATGCTCTCTTCCACCAACTAGTGATTCCTATCTACCTAAGGGTGTTCTCTTCTGCTGCTTTCTTATTTCTTCTCTTCAACTGTTGTTTCCTGCAGCCTTCCTGGATCTGTCTGGTGTCCACGAGATCAAGGGCACATGGATGGCATCCACCAGTTTACCGTGTACCTACATGCCCTCAGAAGGTTTCACACAGCAAACGCTCACCTGGAGCATAGAGAGGGACCATAGCACCTCTACCATCTTCAGGAGGGACGAGACTGGTGACCACATCTTGTTGTCCCAGTTCAGAGACCGGGTCAGTGTCCCAAAGCACAGCCCAGGGAACATCTCACTTCTGATCAAGAACCTTGAAATCCCTGACAGTGGACACTATACATGCCAAGTCGTCTGGAGATCTATAAACAACAGCTTGATAACAAAGGAGGTGACCACTATGGTTAAAGTTGTCAAAGGTAAATCCCTGCTCTTGTGTAGGTAGCCTAACCCACAGAGCATGTAGGAGCAGCAGCTGGTGGGAACAGGTTTTCACACCATAATCCTGACTGGGTGTTGAGGCACCCTCCTACTTTGCTGTGTTAGCCCCTCTCTGTTGGTGGAGATGTAGGAATGGACTGGGGCAGGTAGGTCACCCTGATCTGGAACACCTCAAGGACCACATGAACCTGAGGTGCTTGAGATGACATCCAGATCTGGTTTTGGCTGCAGGTAGCCAGCATCTCTGTAGCCAGTGGGACTGCACGTGGGTGTTGTACTGGCCAATGCTGCCGTATCCCCTCCCCAGCATCCTCAGTCTTTCTGCAAGAGGGGCACCCACTGAGCAGAGCGGGGCTGGCATGACAGGGCAGGTGTAAATATGGTGCCATAGCTGGTGTAAACCTGGCTTTGGGCACAGGTGAGATGAACTGGACCTGTGCAGAGGTGAGGAGACAGCTCTGCCTCTCCTCCTCCCAGGAGAGCCCCAAATGCCGAGCAACAACTGGGGTGAGGGGGCCCTTCCCCAGCACAGCTTTGTCTTCCAGTTGCAGTGACCAAGCCCATCATCAGGCCGGGCGAGCTGGGGCTGGTGGTGCCCGCGGGAGCCAGGACCAGCCTGACCTGCGTGGCCAGCGGGTCCCCACCGATCCGCTACCGCTGGTTCCGGGGCAGCCCGGGGGGGACAGCCCAACCCCTGGGCAGCCAGGCTGAGCTGGCCTGGGCCCGCCTGCTGCCCTCGGACGCCGGCACCTACTTCTGCCAGGCAGAGAACAGGGTCGGGGCGGCACAGCACAGCGACACCGTCCAGCTGCTGGTCACAGGTGAGTTCCTAGAGCCTCCAGCTCCTCATCACCGCTGGATCAGGCTGATGGGGAAGTTTCCTCTTTCATAGCGGGATCAGCTGTATAACGCTGAATTTTAATTGTCTCTTGGCTGCTACCCAGAGAGGAAACTAAAGGGGCTGGTGTTCTCCCTGCAGCAGTGTGACTGGTCATGGCAGAGGGCAAGAAAATGTCCCCAAGTCTCTCTGGGACCAGGATGGCTCCTGCCCTTGCCGTGTCTTGCTCCTACCTTGCCCATACTGCAGACAGGGCATGGGGACACAGTCTGATGACCAGTCTTTTCCATAGAGTTCCCAGCCACACAGCAGGCCAGCCCTGGGGCCGGCTGGCACAGCAGACCCCCCCCCCCGCCCCCCCCGG